TCGACTTTATATATTACTCAAGCACTTTTATTTATATCAAATTTGTAAATGTGTTCGAGCACTGTTCGAATGCCAAATACAGAATGCAAAGTGCAGAATGCAAAATGCTTAACTCTGTTGCACACTTCGCAGGAGCTGGAGCCGCAGCAGCAGCGCACGTACTCTTAAAAATGTCCCATTACAGTATGACCATAAAATCAGAGCGAAACTCGAAAAAAAAACACAAATTTGCAGTTGCAAAAGTTTGCCGGCCGCAGGGCAAACACGTATCGCATGGCTGTTGGAATTGTTGTACCGTTAGCATTTTGCTGGCCATCTTTTATGGTCAAGTTGAAGGCACACAAAGACGCACACACACACATACTGCTCCACTACATACGTACATGTTTGATGTGTGCTTTTTATTGTGTGCAGGCGAATTCGAAATTTCACTTGTCAAGTTAAATGCTTCAAGTGTTTATTTCAGTGCTGGAAAACACTTAGACAGTGCATAAATCAGCTTGAATAGATAAATTCCTCTATATATAGATATAACTGCTGACTGCACTTGCAATTGCATTCGCGCCATCATTTGTGGCTATTTGCGTGCTCATTGTTAATTTGATTGCCAACTTGCGATAGCGACAAACACCTCGACTGCTGCTGGCTGTTTGGCTCTGTATGTGTGTGTGAAGGTGTGTGTGTGTGTGTGGGCGTTGCCTGGACGCATAATTGAACAATAAATTAAATAAAGGTACTCGAGGCAGACCAGCTAAACATAGAGTCGAAATTGCATTCGGCTCATGGCCATTTTTAGTTGCCATTTCGATTCGCGCACCAATTGAACTGTTCGCACTGATTTCTCCAGGGTTTCGCATCAATAATGCACGCCTCGCTGCACTTACAGCCGGAGCGGACAAGGAGTAAAAAAAAATCGTATATATGTAAAAATATATATATATAAGTTGCACAATAAATAGATTATTTGCTTGTTTTTGGGTATACAGCGGAGGAGACTCTGAGAAGCTAGTCAAAAGCAATAAAAAAATATAATATTAATAAAAAAATAAATAAATGACAAAAAAAAAATGTACAATGTATATTTAAGTGTTTTTCTTTGTAATAAATTAAAATTGTTGTTGCATGAAATAGTTCAGTGAGTATATGCAATGAAATAGGCCTTTCCTGTATGGAACCGTGTTTATATATGTACATGTACTACAGATCTGCATGCTGACATTCATTTCCCATATCATAGTACTGTATAGTGGGACGATGCTCTTAAAAAAAAAGCATTGTACTCATTCCTTCTCTAAATATTACACAAAATTAAATTTAAAATAATAAATAATAAATATTAAAATATGAAGTTGAAAATGTTAATATTCCCTATAGTGCAGAATTTTATGTTCACAATTGGTGAACAAACAACAATTCATATATTTATAAATCTATGTATATTAAAAATATATATATTGGACCAAATAAATATTTTATTTAAGTATATTGTTTTTCCCAGCACATATTTCCGAATTTAATTTAACATTTTTGTTAAATTAAGATGAATATCTTAAAATAGAATATATATAATAAAAGGCTCTCGCGCTAATGATATTAAACAATATTAAACTAAATATTAAAAAGTTAAATATTAAATATTAAACATTAAATATTAAATAAATAAAATAATATTAATGATGCCAAAAAAAAGTTAAGTCGTAAACAAATATTACTAATGCCAAAATAAAAAAGTTAAATCTCAAACAAATTAGATAATATTTATAATGCCAAAATAAAAATTACAAAAAATAAATAAATAAATAAAAATTTTATTGACTAATAAAAATACACTTGATAATTTGGCTTTCGAAAAGGAGTAAATAAAATCATTATTTTTGCTAAATTATAATTGCCAAAAACTATCAAGGCTGACAGGCTTTAGTGGCGGCAGTCAACATAGTTTAATTAAACAAAATCCATTATGACCAACATAGTGTTTGATCTAAATTCCATTATAGCACTCAACAGCAGTCAACAGAAGCCAATAAATATTATAATTATAGCGATACAGAAATGTGGTGCATTAATTAAAACGAATTTGATTTCTTGGTCAGTTTTATTGTGCCAAATAAAATGTTTGAAAATTCATTGAAATTGATGCCAAATTTCGGGCAAATACAAATGTTTTGCCCTAGCCAAATCGCATTAAATTTAATTAGAAGCTAATCAAATATTTATGCGCTTTGTATGAAATGTGTGCAAAAGGCGAGAAACGTTTGATGTGCGGAGCGCAGACTTTGAAGCGAGTTTACGGTCTGGCGCACCTGTAGCACCTGGCCGAGCAGTCGAGCCAAAAGCCCTAACTCTGAGTTAACACTCAATGGAAGTAAAAACAAAAAATATGAAACACAAAAATGTTAAATGAATTCTGAGCGCACAAAATCGAAAGCTGCTGCGGGGTAATAAAAATGAGCCGGCTATCAGTGAATACAGTGAAATCGGTCAAGTCAAGTACGTATCAGGGTGAACATAGTATTATAAATCGACACAATATATACACAAAATAAATAAATAATAAAAAAAAAAATGCCAATTGTGACAATACCGGCCACAGCTCTTAACAAATTGGACAGTCATTCGGCCTATGTACAAATTGCAGTCGGCGGTGGCACTGGCTTTCTCGTTGGCTACGTGTTCTTCAAGGTCAGCAAGGTGCTGGCCATATGCATCGGCAGTGCGATCCTGACCCTCGAGGTGGCCGTCGAGACGGGTCTGATCCAGATCGACTGGACCAAGGTGACGAATCAGCAGAATGAACGAACTCCACCAATTGTTCGCCAAATGGCAGTCTCGCCCTTCACGCCCATGGACTATGCCATTGATGTGGACAAGGCCAAGCAGATTATCCTGTCCAGTGCACGGCTCTCGATTGCCATCTTGGGCGGTTTCCTGCTAGGCTTTGGATTCTCTTGAATGCAATGAATCGGCTTATTTAAGCAGGCCAGAGCATAGCCACGATATATGCAATACCAATGCACATCACAAATATAAGTAACTATATTTCTCACTCTCATAATTCTCCTCTCTCTCTCCCTCTCTCTCTCTTTTTGCCTGTGTTTTACTTTACACATATTAAAAGTTGTTGGTGCACATAAAACGGCAAAACTTGAAAGTTTTAACAACATTTTCATGCGCTTTTAAACATTTCAATTTACAAGCAACGTAGCCCATATAAATTTATGCATAAGCAAAGTTTTTCATATCCAAGGCTATGCGCCAAGCGCCGAGCACTGCAAAAACCAAAGAGCGACGGGATGGGGGAGCGGGTCTAAGGTTACTTTGTGTGCGGCATATGTGTGAGCCAAGTGTCACATTTATCGTCATCAGCGTTAAGGCCTCACACAGGACTGCATATATATGGCAGAATTCCTAGCTAAACAAAAATAACATAGTTTTATTTACAGCAGAAATACCTGAATGCATGCCATGAATATCTTAAGATAATACTATATAAAAAATATGTATGATTATTATCATAACATTATATGATAATATATAATAATATTTTTATGATCACATATATTATTAGGATTTTAGAGAAAATGCTGTGGCAAACGTTAATATTCGCAAGTAAAACATGTGACATTTATATACTAAAATAATAAAATTTGTAAATAAAATTAAATTGTAATAATTTGCATATCTAATATAACAACAATTAAATTTAACACCAAAATTGAATGAATAAAAAACCCAAAAAATTTTATGATCTTAAATATTTGATAGGTCATAAATAACAAAGAAATTATTTTATTTGTAGGACATGTAAAAACAGAGTCTCTTGTAGAAATTTGTTAAGCCAATTAACAATGGATTTTTCAAAGCATATTTTTATAAAGGAAATAATATATATATATTTTGTAGGTTGCTTGAACATTTTTATTTAGATTCAATAAATTAGGTTTTTGATGGAAAGAAGAGATTTGAAATGGTTTGTTAATTACAGAGTAGCTGAAAAATAAATATATATATTTTTTGAAATTCTCAACTTTGCAGCCTTAATAAAATGAAAAACTACTTTGATATACAAACTTGCTTATATATAGTCTTTTTCATTTAATTAATATTTTTCCAGAAATTTTATAACATAAACATGTTAATAAAAATTTATAAAAAATATATTAAAGTAATATTAATATCAATAAAATCAATATAATAATCTTAAGCAATATGAATAATAATTTTAATTGTTAATATATTAATTTTCTATTTTTGTTATTTGATATCTATATACGTCTATTTAAAAATAACTATTAAATGTTTATAGTAAATGTTTACTACACATAAAATATGAAAAATATGTAAGTTTATAATTTTTTTCTTTCAGCTAATATTGTACACTCACATAAATTAAGTTTCACTTTTTAGGCATAAATAGCATTTCCATATATTTGCTTCCTTCCATTCCATGCTTCATAATTTATAAAATATATAATTATGTTTTCTTTCAAATCGGCCAGTTAAAACTCCACTTAAAAAATATTTATATGTTTTATTTTCTACACTTGCGCTTAAATAGTTTTATTTTGTTCACTTTGTCGCCGTCGTCGTCGCCCTCCTCCTGTCCCGTGCTGTCCACCGGTCACCCCTGTGGCTTTAGCTGCTTGGCTAGCTCTTGTGTTTATTTCCATTTGCATTTTTTTTTCCCTTCCTCTCTCTCTCTCGCATTTTTTGTGGTACCTTTTCTTTCATGTTTACTACAAAAGCGGCCACAGCAAATGAAGAGGCTGCGCAGACTGCGTCTGAGCTGGGGAGGAGGAGTGGCAAACTGGAACCAGGGCGGAGGCTAGAGCTGAGTCTGAGTGCAGAGGCCGCGTCCCGACCAAAGGGCATTGTGCTCTGCGATCCAGATGCAATTCTCTAGCGATTCTTATGAGTATTTTAGCCCGAATCAGGCAGGCAAGCATGAGAATTTAATGAGCAGCAGCATCGAGCCATCAAGGCCTTCCAGTTGGCGCTTTAATCGAACCTTAACTATCAACATTTATTGAATTTAATAATTGTGAAAGAAGAGCGCCAACTGTGCTGTGAATTGGAAAACATTTTGCAATAATTTCGACATTTTCCTTCTTTTTTTTTTTTTGCACAAATAAAAACAGACAAACGCATTTTACGCATTGTTATTGCACTCGGCCAACGAAATTTAGAATTGGTTTTGTTTGGCTTTCGGCTTTGTTCAACAAGCAATTATGTCGATGGTGCTCAGTTCGGTTTTGTTTGATTATTGAAATTTGCTTTGGCATCGCACACACGCACACACACACACGAACACAATGCAGTTTACATAAGATATTCACATTAGTAGGGCTAAATTTTTGGTCAATTATTTAACAATCAATTCAATGTGTGTGTGTGTGTATGTGTGTGTGTGTGTATGTGTGTGTGTGTGTATGTGTGTGTATGCCAACAACATCTAATTAACAAATATGCACGATGGAATACAAATTGATTTACTGAGCCGTACTCGGGACTCAATAGCGAAAACCCAAATCGTCAAATTCAATTGTCCGATTAACCAAATAGAAAATCTGCACGAAGCTAATCACTAGACGGCGTACCACAATTTCCACAAAGCTCACTTAATTGACGTCAAGCCAAGGCAAAAGTTTGCAGCTTACTAATTGGACTTATCTATTATTTGGCTTCGGGTATTTTGCATAATTGAACTGTCCGCATTGAGTTGACTAGTGAAATGCCTGACTGACTGGCTTGCTGGCCAAGTTTGTTGTGATCGACCGCAAAAGAAAATAATTCTCCAATCGAGCTATTTCGTTACTCATACGACGTGTTGCCCACACATGAGAGCATAATAATGCAGCTGTGCCTGCCTTCAATTTCAAATGTAAATATTCATTTGCATTCGCCACTCAGACAATCGAAATTCATGTGTGTATATATGTGTATAAATGTATGTATATATCTGTGTATTTATTTATTTTTCGTTTCTGTGAGCACAAAAATTTATATAATATTTATTTATTTTTTATATATGCAATTGCCTATTTTAAAATCAATTTGAAAATGCTCATGCTATGTTTGTTCATGAACCTAACATAGACAAGGTACATTGATAGGGTATATTGATTTATGGCTAATTTATCTAACAAGCAGAAGAAAGCGTGGTATATAGAAGAAGAAATGTATATTCTTCATCAAAGCGGCAAGCTTGAATACTATAATACTAAAACATAAGAATAATGAACTAAATAGTTTAACGAATTCTTCACACTAAAATAATTATAAATGTTCAAAAAAAAAAATTTTTTTTAAATAAATAAATAAATAAGAACTATAATAATAGTAAATGTTATAATAAAATTTTATTAAACAATGTATAAACAATTTCATTTGACTTATTATAACTGTATAAGATATTTACTTTGCCAGCAAGAAGTCATTATCAATATGAGAATGAACAATATGCCTTGTTTTTGTTTGTGTGTTTTTTTTTTTTTTTTAATTTTTTTGCATTGGTATTTATTTTTAGATGATGAGAAATGCGCTTTACGAATATATACAATTTAATACTCAAGGCTAGAGGATTCGAGGCCAGGCTGGATAAGGATCTCTTGCAAAGATGAAGACCTCTCACAAGGATAAACTGAAGGATTACTAGTTGCAGCGCGCATTTAAAGGTAATTGGCAAACATTTAAATAGAAAATGTTGATTTTTTCCAATTATAGTCCAGACAATGCTTCTCTCGACAAACTTCTCTGACGATCAAGCAACAAATAGGAAACAATCAGCCAGAGTTTGATTTATGTTTGATGCTTGAATATAAAAACAATTATTCGAGAGAAGAAATGCCTGAAGTATGCACAACCCACCTACATTTCTCATAAATGAAAACATATATTAAATTAAAGAAAAGTACTCTTAGCCCGTCAATTACCAAAAGTATACGAAAATGAGAAGATATGCACTTATTTAATATCAATAAATTTTTTGTTTGTAATTTATTTATTTATTTAAAATTTTATTTTAATAATATAAGAATAAACCTTAAATATTCCTACTTATTTGTACTTTATACTTAAATATATACACTCAATATATACTCAAATATTTGGCATTGTATATCTTCACATTATTGAATGAGGAAAACCAATGCATATCATATTATTTGGAATCCCATCAGAGAGTATTATATGCAGCCAGGCAAACTTTAAGCGAACTCACATCCAACATGAAATTTGTGTTTACAGAATGCTGAACATGAATGGCAAGCCGTGCAGCTGCAGCTGTGGAGACTAACTATGGCCAAATTGATTGATAGTTGAGGGTGGACTAAAGGTGAAGCTCTATGGCAACAGAGCAGAGCTGTCAGCCAACCGTGCAGCGAAGCGCATGAATTTGATGAACTTATTAAAATCGGCGACGAAGATGTGCTGCCGAACAGCGGTGCCATTGATTAAAGTCTTTGGCCTTAAAGCGTTTGGCCAAACAGTGGCTGGCTGGCTTAACTGCTGGCCGGGCACAGCGGATGTAATTTTGCAGCGAGAAGTTGCCTGGCACATGTTTCACTGGCTGGGCGAGGGCGTCCATAAATCTAACCGTGTGGGCGTCAACTACGCCGCCATCTAACCAGCTATCTAACTATCTAGCTATCTGGCTATCTACATAGTAGTCGTGGCCCGTTCGTCCCACTGTCTGGGCTGGCCGTCGGCATTCTCTGGCAGTCGCTGGCATTACGTGCAAATAGTTACGTGAAATTATTTCCGGCAGCGTTCACTAATATCATTCTGTTTGAGTTTCTTTTGGATAGACTTGCAAGGAAGTTGCATTCAACCTTTCAAGCTGATGCCTGCCAAGGCAAACATTGAGAACTACCAAGCTCAAGTTGAATGCACCAATTGTCTTCATTCGTGACGGCTGCAAGGCACTTTTCCTTCAAGTTTAAATATAATTTGAAAATATATTACTATTCAGCTTAAACTCTTTAAAGTTGAAACTTTAAATACCGGATAAGAATACCTAAAAATATAAGACATCGAGCAATGTGATTATTTGAT